TATTCATTTATATGAAACAGTAAAAACAAATTGGTGAAAATCTAATTTACTGTACTTTCTCTGAGCAGTTTACATAAAACGTCTTATAAATTTAGGGGGATTTGGCAGTTACCTTTCTTTGGAAAGAAGTTTTTCAGGGTGGTTTGGAAAGTTTATACCTTAGAGCAGGACACGGGAGAGTTATCTTGAAAATGCAAAAATGGAGTCAATATAGAACTTTTCAGCAAAGAATTGAACTTATTTGTAACGTCACCTAAATGCACCAATTAAAATGGCATTCGTCATCAGAGATACAGAGACGACGAGGACAGAAGAGCAGAAACAAGTAAAAGTCAAACATTTATCAAAACTTCTTTAATCTTGCTGTTAATTTTCATTCATATAAACATGTTTAGGGTTAACCCAGTCAATCAGTTTGCCTGAATTCAGTGAAAACAGTTCATACAAGCGTCCCATTCCACTTGTTTAATTTGAGTTCAGCTGCAGAAATTTGGACAAGGATACTGATCAAAGTACTTTGGGGTCAAGATGGTGTAGGGAAGTGGACTTGGGACCAGAAAGTTGCAGGCTCAACTCCCTGCCACGCCCACATGCATCCCTGAGTAAGACACCTGATCCCCGGTGACCACACAGCCGCCCGCCGCTCCACCTGGGCACTCACCCCGTGCACCATGGGCCAAAAGCAGAGAAGTAATTTCATCATTGTATAGAAACATACAATGATAACGCAGCACTTTGTTCTTATTGTAAAATAAAACTGTACTTATGTCATTTGAGTCATAAGTTGCAGACCCTGCAGTAGATGAAGTGTCCACCTGTTGATGCTCAATGCTTCAGTTTTGACAAATTACCCATCACAAGTTAAACATCAAAGATCAAATTTATTTAATGCTAAATCTGTTTCTCATTACAGCTCAACTTTTAAATGAAAAGGGCTCGAGTTTCTTCAAACACCTAAATGGTCCAGCAGAGGACCCATTTGACATGATCCTTTATTATTTGAGTCTGGATCATTTTAGACGGCAGGAAGTTCATCATCCGACTCTGAAGATCAGAAACTGGTGAACTAGGAGTCCACTGAGATGACGTCAGACGGACCACAAGCTTACAAGAACTGCGCTGAGCCACAAATATCAGAAGATCACTGAAGTTAATTTAGCTCAGTATTCAGTTTTAAAACGTGAAACTGGTTCATTCCATGTGGAGAGTTAAAGCAGTGGTTTCATGCACGTTGGGCTGATTGGTGACTCTAGGTGAGGGAGTGAATGGTTCGTCTCCTCTGTGATGGACTGGAGACCTGTCCAGGTGTCCTGTCTCACACGGCGATAGCTGAACGTGACCACTGCGACCCAAACAGGAAGAAGCAGGTAAAGCTAATGGATGGATAGTTTCTAATTTTATAGTTGGTATAGATAGTTATATTTTACAGCTGAAAGCCCAAAATGCAGCTTCTCAGAATTAGAATGTTAAATAAGACCAATAAATTTAAAGAAAAAAGTTTTGATTCAAACATGTCCTACTGGGAGTAAGTCCATGTTACAAAACCATGTCTTGTGTCTGCTCATGTATCACTGGATGGAGAGTTTGGACCTGCTCGGTTCTGGAAGCCCACGTTACCAGATGGGGACATTCGCCTGCATCGTTGGGTCTGGCATCTCAGATTTTCTGTGAACTTGGTACCATAGGGTCATTTACGCAGGCGTTGGTACTTTTGGCACAAAGTCCTGCTGGAAAATTAGGAATTATGAAATTATATTAAATTATGATTATGAAAATTAAATTAGCAACACTATCATGCTTTGCAGCAGAGGCAGACATGACGTTCTCCAAAATGTCCTGCTAGATGCAGATGATTTTGGACCTGACGAAAGAGTGGACCAACACCAGCAGAGGACAAGGACCCAAACCATCACTGACTGGAAACTTCACTCCAGACTTCTAGCAACATGGACTCTGGTCCTTGATTTCCAAATGAAATAAACTTTGACCACTGCACAGAAGTCCAGTCCTCATTCTTCTTACAGTATGCAAACACTAACAGACCAACAGTTTTGTATTAAAGTGTTAATGCAGTGACTCCTTTCTAAATTTGGTTTCACCTGTAGACTCCCAGTTCAGTTCACAAGACTGATTTAACTGGAAACGTTTTGTTCAGAGCATGCCAGCAGAAGCACACCAGCATCTACTTGTTGTGACGGACAAGTGCAGAAAATCTACTCAACACACCGTTTGACAAACAAGCCTTTATTTTAGGTGGAAACAAAACTGCCGTTCCATTCAATATTATCCTGATTATGCACAATCATGTATTTTAAGTGCACAATTTAAATCTAATGTAATTTAGATAAGAATATAAGGAGTTAATGATTGATTTCTTGTATCCACACGAGCCTTTAATAAAACTTGAAACCTCTAGCTGTGCTGCAATGTTTTCAGATTTGGATGATTACTGAAAATGTTAAATGCAACCGACAAGAGGATGAAAAGACAGTAAAAAACATTCTGCACACAGTAACAATGAGCAAAATGATCCAAACCACAGTAAGAAGGAGCGTGGGGCATGTTAGTCTCACACACAAAGGTCTACAGTCCCTCCTGGGGCAGAATGGTCCCGTTAGCGCACATGGACATTAGTTTGGAAACATCTGCATAGGCTTTGCTCGAAAGAACTTTCCTGAAAATAGTCCTGAAAATATATAAAAGACTTTTGGATTTTCTTTAACATAGAGCCCTGAAGAGTGAGCGTGCTATTGTGAATAAAACGTAGTGTCAGGATTTGGGGGAGGGGATCACGAAAGCAGCAGTTTGTTGCAAAATATAACACGGTAGCGGCTTTTGTATTTGAATATACAACAATTAAATGCATTTTAAAGTCGGACAGAAGAAGCTGCTCACACGTGGAAGGAAGAGGTTCTACATTAATTTCTTCTCACTACAGAGTGCAAATCAGATGCTTCCAACAGACCTTTCTAAATCTGAGAGCCTCTTTGCTCATGAGCCCACCCTTTGTACATAAACCATTTCCCATTCAAATGAAACAGACGTAAGATAAATGAATTTAGTTGATACGGAATGTGAGAAAATTAATATTTGTAATTCAATTTTTTTGACAACAGAAAGAAAAA